TCAACTAGGAAGGTTCCCCTCACTTTGGAAAAAAGCCTGTGTCACTCCAATCTTCAAGCAAAAGGGATCTAGCTCAGATCCAACAAACTATCGTCCTATTAGTCTTCTTCCCAATCTCTCTAAAATTCTCGAAAAAATCGTTTTTTCCAAGATATATTCTCATTTGAATGGAAACAACTTACTTTCAGAAAAACAAAGTGGATATCGTCCGGGCCATAGCACACAAATTCAGCTCTTGTATCTAACTCACCAGCTATACTCTGCTCTAAACAAAAGTCAAAACTTTACAGCTATCTATCTTGACATCTCGAAATATTTTGATAAAATTTGGCATGATGGACTCCTTTTAAAATGCAAAATCGAGTGCAATATTTCCGGTTCTCTGCTAGCCTGGCTTAACTCTTACCTTACAGATCGCGAACAGGTTGTTCGTGTTGGAAACAGTCTATCATCATCCCAAAAAATACTATCCGGTTGCCCCCAGGGCTCGGTGCTTGGACCTCTTCTGGCCTTAATTTACCTCAACGATCTATCAAACAAGACCAAAAATGACGCTCTCTTTTACGCTGACGACACTTCACTTTACTCTTCCCATCCCCACGACAGTCAGGATCATAGACGCTCCTTGCAGAACGACCTGGACGAGATTAAACGATATGGGACTGACTGGGCCATCACCTTCAACGCTAAAAAGACACTACAACAGACATTTACAAACCGACGAGACAGCTGTCCTCCAGCACTCACATTTGACGGGCAGGACATACCGACCGTGACAAGTCATAAACATCTCGGACTGACACTCTCGACGGACCTTCACTTTCGCGCACACATCAATAACGTCATTCGGACAATTAACATTCTCCTAGGACCGATATATCCCGTGGCTAAGCTTCTTCCTAGACCAGTCTTGAACAACATTTACTCTACCTATATAACACCTCATTTCGACTATTGTGATATTGTTTACGACGGACATTTGACATCAACTGACGCCATCCGACTCCAGACGCTTCAGAACCGCTGTGCCAGACTTGTAACAGGGACGCTTTATCGAACACCAACTACCGCATTACTTACCGAACTAGGATGGGAACGACTTGAGACAAGACGATTAATTCATAAGCTTCTATTCTTTCACAGAATTTACTTCAATCATCCTCCTCTCCCTTCATACATTAAAGACATATTGACAGAAACCAGACAAGACGCCACGGGACTTAGACTTCGCAATGCTCAATCTCTTACTTTCCCCCCTACCAATCTCACTTCTTTCTATAGAGCCTTTTTTCCTTCGACAATAAGACTCTGGAATACTCTCCCAGACACATTGCGTAACACCTCATCCCGCTCCGCTTTTGCTCGTCAAGTCTGGCAGCGATTTGGGGCACCAGAGCCACCCACTTTCTTTTCTTTCGGCAACAAAACGCGTAACACACTACACACACGATTGAGAGTGGGCATGACGACTCTCAAGGCACACCTGTTCAATATACAACACCCCAACACACCCAGCCCAGTATGTGCTTGCGGTTATCACGATGAGAACACAACTCACTTCATACTCTGGTGCCCACTTTACCATACACAAAGAGTAAAACTTATAAATGCAGTTCGAATCATCACTCCAAATTTTGACAATTTCTCAGCAAAATTAAAACTTGATACCCTTCTCTTTGCAAAAGACTTAAACAAGCATCAAGGCACACAAATCACCCATCACCTTCAGACATTTATTGTAGAGACAAATCGGTTTACCAATACAACATAACTGTTTAGTTAGTGCATTTAAGTACCATTGATATTAATGCAACACACTGCTTACATAACACTACACTACATTACAAAACACAAAACATGACACTATGACGCAAGCTGGCCCGATTGGAGTCGTCCGTCGCCTGGGGCCGGGTACTGTCTGCTTTTTTGGCTCGGCGGGTTTCGGGCGGGGTCGACGCTTTCTGATACTTTGGTTTGGTCATGTGTTCTTTGTTTAACTTAATTGGAGAGGCGCCTTTGATTTAAGCTTTTTGCTTTTGCGCCAATCCTCTATTGTTTTGTTCGTTGTTCTTGTTTACATATGGAAAAAATACAATGAACTGAACTGAACTGAACTGAACGCCCCCCCCCCCCCCCAGCAAACGGTGTGTGGCGAAATACCCCAGCAACTGCCGGGTTAAAGTGGAATGTAAGGATACAGTTAGGATAACGAAGCAAAGTATTTTATTATGCGAATGGCCCATATTCGACACAACTCGGAAATACGTGAAATATCTCCTTTAGTGTTGATGTTGTTGAATGTTGATTGTGACGATCGGCTGTGCTGTGCGTAGTAGCAAGAACAGCAGCAGCAACAAGCATCAGCAGTAGCCTGTGACAGGTCGCCCTATCTGACTAGCCTGTCGATGAGGTATTCAGCATCGTAAAACAAGTGGTGAAGGCTGAAGCTTACCTAGGCTAATCGCACTGAAATCGAGGGACGGCGGAGTCGTTGGACACCGGAATGGCTCTTTGCGTCTTATTTATATGATTGCAACGACGAGACATTTTGAAACGAAGGTGCAGTCAGTAAACTGATAAGCTGTCCAGTCAGCTGACTGGAATCGCTACAAGACATGGCAGCCAGCATTCACCGCTGGGCCAGCTCATCGTTCAACTGAGCGACACCCGACAGTCCATTGTCCAGCCGTATTGTGATATGGACACTGCATAATAGGGGAGGGGGAACTATACGCGCCTACATACACTCTATCATACGCCTGTTTACCAGGGATATTATTAGTATTACCACTACCAGGGATATTATTATTAGTAGGTACTAATATGTCGTCTGAAGGTGGAAATTATAAAACTGAGCTTCTTCAACTACACGAGAAATGGCGAAGGCGGTCAAAAAACTTGAGCTTCAGTCAAGGGGCAAGAGTACTCGACCCTTGACCGTGACCAGGACGGCTGGTCTAAAAGTCAGTGCAGGTAAAGACTGCAACATCGTGACACGAATGGAAGCTGGAGTACTGAATAGGAATCATGTAGAGTTTCGGTTTTTTTTTAGCACACTGCTCAGTGCTCAGTGCTCGTCTCACCATTAGCGGACAGCGAGTCACGCTGCACCGAATTTCATGTGTACGTGGTTACACACCTGCCGCCAGATGTCACTACAGTGAGCCCCTGAAGTTATGCTGTACCGCCGAACTCTAAACTTATGTCTTTCCGTTGCCGCTAGATGTCACTACAGTGAGCGCCTGAAGTTATGCTGTACCGCAGGTCTCCAAGCATATGTCATTCCGCTGCCGCTAGATGTCACTACTATGTGTGCCTGAAGTTATGTTGTACCGCACATCTCCAAACCTATGCTGTACCGCCGCCCCAAGATGCCACTGCAGTCTGGCATGCGGTGCCTCATGGTACCGCATGCCATGGGAACGATGCTAATGAAGTTGTTTTCGATGTTTGGAAAAGACATGTTGCCACCGCTCACCCGCTCCTCTGATCCGAGTAAGCCACGCGGTTCCGGAACTCGTCAGCTAGCGTTAACTCGCGACCTGCTGGAGGGGAAGGATCATCCCACTTCTCAATGTAATCGGTTACGACGGTTAGTGTGGTGCCGACGACGCCGTTGTCCAAACAAATGTTATCGAAATATGTAATTTTTCTTACGTAAATTCTGCACACTTCAGAGGAATTTCGGACACTGCGTGGACCTATACCTCCCCAAGACACCTTTCCTATAGGTCCACCAGCGCGCCTCGTTGAGTGTTTAACCCGGCACCGCCTGGGCTATTTCCGTACCCACGACAGCCTGGGGGGGGGGGGTCGGATCCGACCCCCCCCTGTTATCTCGAGAACCAATGGTCGTATCGAGCCCCGCGAGGCGGCGTTCGAAAGGTCTCTACGAGACCTTCCCAAAGCACTCTTAAGATTTTAAGATTGAGGTCAACTTTCGGGTCAAGGTCAGGTCAAAGGTCAAATTCAGGGGTTTTGCATGATTAGGCTTACGGACAGCGGAATCGATAGCTGCTGCTCGAAACTCACCAAAAATGACCTCAAAGGCCTAGTGAAGGTACCATGTGTGTATAGGGGTCATACTAAGTACGGGTCAAGGTCAGGTCAGGTCACGAAAGGTCACGGTTTTCAATTTCTGCTACATGGGCGTGCGACACATGTTTTATGGCTTATTTTTCACGCCGAATCCGATGGTAATGGTTATATGTGACACCAAGTCACTGTGCTGGTGATAAGTGTGCATTGAAAGCATAAAAAATCGTTTATACTATACGAGGGCTAAGAAAAAAGGTCAATTTTTCAACTTTTTATTTTTGACATAAAAATGCACTTCTCTAGACGAGCTTTGTCCCAGGAATCTAGTGGTGCCATTTGTTTTCACATGCAATGTTCAGAAGTACCTCTAATTCACGAAAATGCTTATGACGTCACCATGCCCTATACATGTTGGAGCTATTTTTTACAATTTGGGGGTCAAAAATCAAGATAGAAAGTTGAAATTTGGGGCATCTAATGTTCTAATAAAGCTCTACAACATATACTCCGGGTTTTTGGAAATTCCCAAAATTTTGGATTTTATTAGCTGTTTTCCAAAAAATATAGTTTTTTGAATTTTTAGGGGTGAAAAACGCATTTTATGGAAAATCCGAGATAGCCATTTTAAAGAACTCGTTGAGCTGCGTCTTTTCATGTTCTTAATTTGCAATTTGCTTTAAACCCTGATTTTTGGCGATTTTTTTTAAACATTTACCACTTTTTGACTATACACGCCATGTAGTTACATCACTAAAATCGATATATCTCAAAAATTTTTGGAAATTTTTTCTTAAAAATTGCACAGGAGACGTCAAATTGATGGGGGAGAAGGTATGCCAAGTTTCAAGTAGATAGCGAAAGTGGTTCATGAGTTATTCAAGAAAAACGGAGGGGGAGGGTCGGATCCGACCCCCCCCCCCCAGGCGGTCGCGGGTTAAACTCCTTATTTGTATTCCCTCCAGAGCGTGATAGCGCTGGGCGCGCGTCACTTCACGGTCGTCTCTGCCGCCAAGCCGTGTAACGAGGCCAAGAACCGCAGTCTCAGCTTCATCCCGATGGAGCCGTCACGGGTGCTGCTGCCGGGGGACGCTGCGCTGGAGGGCGCCAGCTACATCAACGCCTCCTGGCTGCCAGGTGAGCATGTCGGCGAGATGGGGTCGTCCTATAGGACTGGTAGACGTGGACTTGTGCCACACAGCGCTGGATGGGGTATTCTGTCTTCAGAAACGGTCAATATACGTGCTACACGTAGGTATTTGTTAGTTGTCGACTCACAACTATGTGTATGTGTAGTTTTTTGAAGCAACAGGAGCCCGAGTCGAGAATTGGGAGCGATGGAAACTTGTTGCTCTCCAAGCACTGAAATGGATCCCGTCCAGGGGCGGATCCAGGAAAACTCCAAGGGGAGGGTCATGAATCGAAGTGGTGCCCCTACCTATACCCAAAATTAAAAACTCAACGGATTTCGTCCACTTCATTTTGGTGGTGCCCCCATTTTCAGTTTTTTTTATGTTTTATTTTTAGTCAGTATCTTAACTCTTAGCCACAACCACATTTAACAATTGTAAGCAAGTATATATGAATGTGCTATGTGTATATATGTTGTGGACGCTGAGTAGTGAGTACTTACCAGGAACGTTATCAGGTAAGCAAATCGTTGTCAGTCCGACGAACTTGACCCTGGCGTCTAAAGGGTCTGTCCTTGACACTTCAGGCTTGTCAGGGGCACCAAAGTCCTTCCAGGGACACCACAAACCTGTCAGGGGCACCTACGGCCTTGTAGGGGCGCCACAGGCCCGCCAGGGGCACCACAGGCCTGCCATGAAGCAGGGGCACCACAGGTCTAGCAAGTATACACGACAGGCCTGTCAGGGGCACAACGGGCCTGTTGGGCCCATGAGCACCCCTAGGGGCAGGGGCACCACAGTCCTTCCAGGGGCACCGCAGGCCTGTGAGGGGCACCAGCGGCCTAGCAGGGGCACCAGTCAACACAGGTCTGCCAGGGGCACCACAGACCTGCCAGAGGCACCAGAGGCCTGCCAGGAGCACCACCGACCTCGCAGGGGTAACTTGGGCCTGTCAGACTCAGGGCCCAGGGGCACCACGGGCCTGTCGAGAGGTACTTCAGGCTTTTCAGGGGCACCATAGTCCTCTCCGGGCGCAGGGGTAGCAGTGGCACCAGAGGCCTGCCAGGGGCACTACAGGCCTAGCAAGGGCACCACTGGTCTATCAGGGGCACCACGAGCCTGTCATAGCCAGGCATCTCAGGCTTGTCAAGGCCCAGGGGCACCACAGGTCTGTGAGGGGCACCAGCGACCTAGCAGGGGCACCAGTCAACACAGGTCTGCCAGGGGCGCCACAGACCTGCCAGGGGCACCACAGACCTGCCAGGGGCACCAGAGGTCTGCCAGGGGCACCACCGGCCTCGCAGGGGCACCTTGGGCCTGTCAGGGGCACCACAGGCCTGCCGAGGGGCACTTCAGACTTTTCAGGGGCACCAGTCCTCTCCGGGCGCAGTGGTACCAGCGGCTTAGCAAGGGCACCAGAGGCCTGCCAGGGGCACCAGCGGCCTAGCAAGGGCACCAGAGGCCTGCCAGGGGCACCACAGGCCTAACAAGGGCACCACGGGCTTGTCAGGGGCACCTTAAGCTTGTCAGGGCCCAGGGACACCACAGTCCTTCCAAGGGCACCGCAAGCCTGTCAGGGGCACCAGAGGCCTGCCAGGGGCACCACAGGCCGCTAGCAAGGGCACCACTGGCCTGTCAGGGGCACCTCAGGCTTGTCAGGGCCCATGGGGCACCACAGTCCTTCCAGGGGCATTACAAGCCTGTCAGGGGCACCAGAGGCCTAGCAAGGGCACCACAGGCCTGCCATGGACACCACAGGCCTGCCAGGGGCACCACCGGCCTTGCAGGGGCGCCTCAGGCCTGTCAGGGGCACCACGTGCCTGCCGGGGACACTTCAGGCTTGTCAGGGGCGTTACAGTCCTGTCAGGGCCCAGGGGCACCAGGCCCGTGGTGTCCCTGCTAGGCCTGTGGTGCCCCTGGCGGTCCTGTGGTGCCCCTGTCAGGACTGTGATACCCCTGATAGGCCGGTGGTGCCCCTGGCAGGTCTTTGGGCCCCCGGGCCTCAAGGGGGGGGGGGGGGCATGACCCATGTGACCCCCCCCCCTTGGATCCGCCACTGATCCCGTCTGAGTCACAGTGAAAACAGAATCACAAATTTGCAAAGAAAATTAGATCAGCCACACTTTTGGTAATCAAAGACACAACATGGTAGTGTCAAGGTTAGTGCCACGAGGGGTACTGCTCGAGCCTCAAAATGGTTTAACATTTTCCTTCCCATTTCGGCTTACGAGAAGGATAAATACCTAATGGGATTACGGAAGGATAGAACATCTTATCTGTCTTCAGATCTGTCTTCAGATCTGTCTTCAGATAAGATAGAACTGGTAGATCACGCAATCGAAGTAAATCGCAAGATTACGTGCATTTTTTATCATCGACGATTTGATTAACCCTCGCCCATGTAGGGGGGGGGGGGGGTTGGTGCAACCCCCCCCTGAGGTTTTTCGTAAATAGTGCAAAAACGGCGGCGCGCAGCGCCGCCAAATTTTGGGTACCTTATGGGGCAAACCTTGCGCATCTTTTGATAAAAAAAATTTGACCGGGTCATGTCAGGTCACGGAGTTATGACGTCACAAAGGGAACAGCCTCCGGCCGGATTTTCACAAACTGAGTGCCAACGCCCGAGGTTTCCTGCCGGTGGTACGGACATCGGTTGATGGATCGTGATGAAACTTCCCATGCATGTTGGGGCAAGTATTGGCTATCATATGGTATAAGAAACTTGACCGGGTCAGGTCAGGTCACGGAGCTATGACGTCACAAGAGGAACAGCGTCCGGTACTATTTTTGAAAAGCGCCCGAACCACTATTTTGCTAATTCTTGTCACCTCAATGGGAATATGCAGCAATATTAGCTTCTATAGGGAGCAAATGAACCTTCCAAATCCAAAAATACAATCAGATTTCAAAAATTTAAATTTTGATTTTTCGAATTTCTGCCGCCGACTGTGACCTTGCCGACTTCCGGCGCTCCCAACGCGCCATTTTTAGAGCTAGGGAAACGAAATACATACCAAACGATAGAGAATTGATCAAGGAATACGATAGTGAAGGTTTCAAGTCGATATCTCCCACCGTTTTGCCGCAATCGCCGCGGAAAGTTGAAAAAAGTCTATTTTTCCGAAAATTTGACCTTTGACCGGTCAAAAGTAGGTCAAATGTTGACCTAGGACCAAAAAATATACCACCAATCGCGAGATCTCGGCGAGAGCAATCCGTTGGTCTTTTCTGCTAAGCTCTACGACGCTCCGTTTTCAAACGCCAAGGGGGGGGTCGCACCAACCCCTCCCCTGCATGGGCGAAGGTGGCAGATCGCCGTTTACGGGCGAGGGTTAATCATCGAATGTTTTTCAACCGCAAGTAGCCTCGGTGGTCGATAGTGATATACTCATGGGACGTCGCTCGCTTGTGTTCCATGGAATCCATGCAGAAGTGCTATACGGAAGTTCGCAACACCCAGGGCCTTCAAACAACCCTACAGATCGCAGCTTATGAAAATTTTGCTTTTAGTCGCTGCTCAACTATTCATCGACGAACCTCGTGCTAACAGCAAAGTGTGTTGTACAAATACTCAGGGGGATTGTGCGATGGTAACCACTCACATTATCCCCTCATGAATTCAGCGTCCGTTTGTACATGCGGTTGGAAGTGCTGGCCATAGTGTTCTGAGCAGCAGGGATCAGCTGAGCTTTTAGCACCGTTAGCGGGCCATGCAGCTCGCTATAAAGCTCTTGCCGCTAAACATACCAGATAAAAATGCGGGGTCAGGCATTTGGCCAAGAATCTGCTAACAGTGCCTATGCAAACCTTGTTTGTATTCGTTTCGCGCATGAATGTTTTCGTTGTATTTTATAAATTCCCTTATTTTATGAATGGTGAATAGGGTTGGCGATTAGCAAGACTTGGATCATCACGGTAAATGCTTAACACGCGCAGTGGAAGGGGGGCGGATTTCGCCCACCCCTCCTGTTTTTCGCCAATAACTCGCGCCGCAAACATAATATTAATGTGAAATTTTGGCTACCTGTCCAAAATTAAATTGCGGATCTTCTCGTGCAAGAAATAAGAAAATCGGTTCACAACTTTTCTAGTAATGGCGGTGTAAAGTCAAACATCCTGCCGCCGCGGCGCCGCGGCGGCGCGGCGGCCGGCGCTAGCCGTTACGCGCCGCCTGAATTGTAGACTGTGCCGGGGCGGGACGGTTCCGTCTTTACATCGCGCTCCTTACTGCTGATTACATTAGATTCGCGTCAAATTTGGTGAGAAGACTGAGAATTGTACAGGCAATCATATGGTCAAAGAATTTTGAAAATCGGCCGGTAACAACTTGAGTTATGAGTGTGTAAACACAAAATTGTGATTGCCGCGTTTCCCGCGTCAGCCGATGCCGCTTCAGCCGGCGACATCTTACCCTTAGTAGGCTTCTAACTGCCATATTGATTGTTGGAGTAACTAGAAATTCACCATACATACTCGCAAATGCTTGGCCTTTCGTATAGTGAAAGAAAAAAGAAAATCGGCCGGTAACTTTTTGAGTTAGCGGCGTGTAAACTCAAAAAAGTCGCTCATATGGCAGATTTGACCACATTTGACCTCATTTGACCTTGAAGATATTGACCTAGGGTCATGAAATTCACACACAACAGAGTTCCTCATGGCCCCCACCTACCCTCCAAATTTCGTTTTTCTAGCTCCAGTGGGAGCTGAGATCTTAGGGGGGCGACATCCGCCCCCCCCCTTCCACTGGGCGTAGTACTCGCAACCCTTCCACTGCGCGTATTAAAATCGTGACAAATCAATCGTCTCCTATACTGGCCAGCTGCGTCTGAATCGGAATATCATTGCATTGGTGGCGACAAAAAGCATATTTCACCAACGATCTTTTCGCAGGCTTATGCCAATGCATTGTCGCATCAAGACGACACTACTTTGCGCTTTCTGTGAAACTGTCAACAAGTGCAACCGCCAAGTGCCCGCCGCTGGTATGGCTGATTCAGTTACCAACAAAAGTTTCCGTGTGTTTCCAGGATACCGAGTGATGCGGGAATACATCCTAACTCAGCACCCGCTGCCGAGCACTGTGATCGACTTCTGGCAGATGGTCTGGCACTACCGAATCACGACCGTGGCCTGCCTCTCTCCGGAGGTCTGTGTGGTGCGTCACAGGGTGCATATAAATAATGTGTATTTATTTTATCTGTGTATTTATTATCATTTTTTGTTGTTGTTGGGCTAGGCTCTTTCGGTCTGACAAGACCATTTCAGAGCCGGAAGGATGTTAGGAATGAGGGGGAGACATTGGTCTGGGCAAGCACTCTAGTCAGTCGTCGGGGCTGCGCCCATTCAGTGGACACTGGACGGGCCACCCCGCACCCAGTCCCCTAACAGTCACCGCGCCCGGCTACGGGTCTGCTCCAGATGTGAAGCCATCCGCATGGGATAAATTTGCCCTCGGACCAGGGGGTGGAGGCGCGGAGGAGAAGGATTGACTATCCTGAGGATGGAAATGACGGGGTGGAGATTTTAAAAGATAGGTAATCACCCGTTTGTGCTCTACCTATACACATTGAACACCAAAAGCCCCAATGCCTTGGTAGGTTACACAGTACAAACCTTGCTATGTTGGCATTTTCGTTTGTGGTCGCTCACATGTCTCAAATGTCTCCCCAGGGCTGCGGCGTGTTCTGGCCTTCTGAAGAGGAGGTCATCCGAGGGTCCAACTTCGTCGTGCGATACATGTCCGAGAGCGCCGACTGCAGCGCCACCTACAAGACGTCCTGGGTGATCCGCTCATTTCTGCTGCAGTCCACTGTGGTGAGGTGTCGCTGGTGTCGCTCCATGCACCGTCAGGGTGGCGCTAGCTGTCAGCTAAGAGTCTCGCCGCGCCGGTGAGGGCGACTCAATGCGGGGACGTCCGAGGGTCATTAACCCTCGCCGGACCTATTGGTTTTCTACATACGCGCCGGCCGAGGGGGGGGGGGCGGGTACGACCCCCCCCTCGCCGTTTCGCCCCTGGTGGAGCTAGCGCGTCGCGGAAAAAACGAGCGTGTGCGCCGTTACGAGACGCAGAGATTGGTACCCGATTTTAAGGTCCTAGGTCAACCGGTGACCTCTGAGGTCAGGTCAAGTGCCCCAAGGTACGGTTCAGTTTTTGGTGAATAACTTCGCAAAAAATGGCCGCAGAGCGCCGATTTGGGCAGCATCGTGTTCGCCTCGTCCAGGCGCGTCGAATGATATACTTTTTGTCCGGGTCAGGTCAACTTGGGGTGTTGACCTCAGGTCAAGGTCAGGTCAGCACCCCAAGGTCACGAAGTTGGTCGAAAGAGGTCATGTCGCATATCATTCGATTCGGCAGGCCTTCCTGAGTCCATTGGTGGCTTTGTCGACTCGCTAGCTCAATTTGATCAAGAGTTATTGACGAAAAACTAAAATGACCTTGATGACGTCATAAATGACGTCACGCAAGGTCAACATTGCAAAAGTGACGCATCTAACCTTGCAAGGAGTGCATCAAATCACGATTCTGTGTGCTTGAGATAGTTGGAGATCGTTCCCGGCGCCAGAATAGCAGTTTTCATTTTTCCCCATTGACTTATAATGGTGAGGTCACGAAAATGACCTGACCTCGTATGACCTTTAGGAAAAATCCGAGATATACAATTTGTGAGACTCATAATGGATACTAGATCCTGCAAGTTTCATTTCCCTGTGACATCTCCTCTGGCAGTGAGGGCGTTGCGAAGTTGCGACATCTGAAGACCGTGCAGAGGTTCACTTATGACGTCATAGGTCAGTGACCTGACCTGACCAAAAAATGCGGTTGGTGTCAAAAGATGCGGCTTGGATCAAAGGTCAGGTATGCCAAGTTTCAGCTTTCTATCGCCAGCGTGTTCGGAGCTATCGCGAAAAAACCCTATGGGGGGGGGCGGCACCCGCCCCCCCCCCCCTCGGCCGGCGAGGGTTAAGATCGACCAGCAGCCCGTGATGATTGCCGTGCGTATAGCCAGGGGTGACGGTGTTTGGACAGGCTCATTTGACCGACGTCTCTATTGTGAGACGGGACAATTACCGTAGAAACCCGACTCCGGCTCCCCCAGCGGTCAATTCTCCGTGCCCGGTGAGAGTGCGAGCGGTGAGTCACTCGGTAAATTGCCCGAGGTACCTGATTACACTCCAGTGTCATTATATCCTTCAAGAGAGCTATGTATTCTTAGCATGAAACTATTGATGTAACGCAAGTGTCAACAAACTCCAAACGCATCGATTCTCCCATTGGTTCAGCCTACCGTTAAACACGCCCGGTGTCGCTCCCCGCTGACGGGCCCCTTTGTGACGTCACAGGGTACCACTGATGACGTCACGGCCCGGGTGGTCCACCTGCCACTCTGGCCGGAGGAGTGCTCGCTGGACTCAGTGATGGAGGGGGTCGTCGGAGTGCGGAACATCCAGGGTGACCGGCTGAACCCACTCGTGGTCGTCGATAAGTAGGTGTCGTGGGATTGTGCTGCTCCTAAATCTTTGAAATCTTATAGAAATACGATGAAATATTGTGAACTACCTACCTAATATTTGCCGTTTTTTCTCACCTTATTGTTTCTACATAGTAAAAAAGCATTTCAACGTGCTTAGTGCCGTCTGAATGTCCATTTCTCGGATATGTCACAAATCAAATTGTGCCATCCAGCATCCTGTTAACGGCGCCAAGCCTCGCTCGTACCTCTGATGCCTGTTCTTTTGGGCATCTCATCCCTTATCTCAGCTCCGTCTTTTCTCACCCCTTTGGATCGCGCTCAGCTTAGTATTCTGTAAGCGATTTCGGCCTTTTTGTCCATTTCTTGGTCGCCGGAAATTTATTCGTGGATAAGACAAGAGCTATCCGAAATTCACTTGGTTGTCGAGGCTGCACAATCGCCATCAGCATTACAATGGGGACGCTCGTGGGCTGAAGAGCCAGCCGATCCTGTATTGTACGTCAGCTGCTGTCCATAAAAGGCGTCCACTGAGCATCATGAGCTTAGCCGTACTAACAAACTTTGGCGGGAGGGTGCAGCAATGTATGGGGTTTTATATATAGACGATTCATGTCATTGGAACAGTTGATAAAGTAATACCTGCTGCGCCGAAAAAAAACTGCGCCGAATAACACTACGACGAGCAAAATAACGTCTCACTTGAACATGGTTATTACATATTTCTATTCACCATTTTGCACACTGCACAGGCCTAATGACATTGATAACGGCATTTATCACTGTTAGAGAAAACGGGAATTTTGAGTCAAAACAGAGCCTTCGCACGTTTACACTTAGCCATCAGATATCAATTCGAACTGCGGACACATTTATGACCGTAACACGCATGGCTCAAACTCCTACCGACCGCTGTGTTCGCTCGTGTTCTGTTCACAGGTACGGAGGTACCGAGGGAGCCAGCTTTTGCTTACTGAGCACTGTACTGCGGCAGCTTGAACAGGAAGCCAGCTTCGACATATTCACATTCGCCAAGCTCTACCACCAGCGGCGACCGGGAATCTGGAAAAACATGGTAGTGATAAGCTGGGGAGTCTGCATAGATATAGCTGAGAGAAATAATGATTGGGTATCTCTACACTAGTCTCTGAAGCTGTCGTATCTCGCTCCACTGTTTTGTAATATACTCGGTATCTGGGGCGAAAGTGATCATTAGATTAGCTCAGTATGTTTTCTCTAGCTGAGGCTACCAAACCTTTGTTTGATATTATTTGAAATTGATTTGATCTAAAGCGAGCAGAATAAAAACGTTGACAGCAAATGGTTCAATGTAAGTTTGTTGTGAGCATTGATCTGGCGGCCATTTTACACACCGCCAACTACAATTGTTATACCTATGAGACGCTGAGAGTTACTTCTGACTGTTTCCCGGCGTCTCACCCACAGCGTGAGTACCTGTACCTGTACCACGCGGTACAGGAGTGGCTGACCTCGCGAGGTCACGGTACTCTGCGGAGAGCTGGCTCCTGCACCAGTCTCTGTGAGAACCGCACCCCGACAGAGGTCAGCGTCACTGGTCTGCACGGCGTTATGGTTTGAATGGGGGACGTCACATACGGCGTCATTGTGTGATGTGAGAGTGATACGTCATGTATGACGTCATGATATGATGTGTGACGTCACATGCGTCATCATAATATGATGTGTTACATCATATATGACGTTGCGGTATTACCTATGTGTGACGCCATACACGGCGTCATAGTAATATGATGTGTGACGACGTCATATGAAGTGTCATGCATGACGTCATATACGATGTCGTGGGCTGATGTGTGATCCTTGTATGCTGCAATGTATAATGCCATGTATGACGTGATGTATGACCACATGGTATGATGTGTAACGTCACATACGTCGTCACGGCCTGATGTGAGTCGTCGACACTACTTTGGCGCCATGCTCTTCTCGGTGACGTCACTTAGGCAGATTGTTGTTTGATGTGTGACGTCATTATGACGTGTGACATCAGCCACGTTGTGTCATGACGCTATTATCAATGCTTGTGAATGGAGGTGATCGGTGACGCACTAGCGCAGTGACTGAAACCGGTGTTTGACGGAACTGTGCGATCATTCAGTTGGCCAGTGTCGTGATGTTATAGGGCGACCATGTGATGTGACTGTAGTATGATAGGTAAAGTGACATGAAATGAGGGATGTCGACACTAAATACGTTGCTACCCAGCACCGACATTGCAAGAAAGAGAGGACTACTCTCATTTTACGGTTTGTGAAGCATACGCGTCACAAAAGAGACTCTCGAAAAGTCAAACCCGCGTGTGGAAGGTGTGTTTTAATCGTGGCACATGGAGATGAGATGGGGCGCTTTCTTGAGATGAGGTCACCTAATGTGACATGGTAATATGACCTCAGTTGACCTAGGTGACATCTTCTGTGCGCAAGTGCAGAGAAGATGTGTGAAAAGATGTGCCAAAAAAGAAAAAGCAGACGAATTAAACGCCCCATTCCCTTTCCCGCCACGTCGAAGCTAAAAAGTCAACCGTTGAAGTGAGATATACATCTTCACGGCTACGTTTGTAGTCATTATCTTGATTATGCCATTATGCAGTGGCAATTTCAACTTTTGATGACCTTTCCGTTTTCCATTTAGTTCCGTATTAGGGTTGTGAATTGTGATGAGAGAGAGAAATCTAACAATGTAGAGCATCGCGCAAGCGAAGTGTGTTATTTCTTATGACGTATTCGTGATGATATCCTGTATCCTGTATGATAAAGGCTTGCTGCTGCATATAAAATCGCTTTTTGTGTAATGAGAGGCTTATCTCTTCATATTGTAACACATTAAAATGAGGTCGGAATACACCAGACGAATTCGTTAAATTACCGTGGTGTTGTATTCTGCGTATATATGCTGATTAAATATACATATTGCATCAAAGTGAGGGCATGCGTACGTATGTACATGTCGAGATCAAGGTATGTAAACACTGTCAGGATAAACTTGAGACAATCGGTCTGGCTATGCCTCTGTCTCTGCCGTAGGCCACAGACGTTCCCCGAGGCGTGGCTGCGGGATTCTTTTTCTCCCGGCCATCCAGCACTCGCTAAGCCCCCCGACTTGGTATCCCGTTATCAAACAAACCTTGTTGGGCTGCGCCGGAATTAGGCGCTGACATTCACCGACAAACAAGATTAATGTGTTTAATGATAGAGCGCAGTGGTTAATGAACCCGACGGCCCGAAAACAAGGCTCAAAGGAGACTCAGGCAGAGATAGAGGAAACCACGGTAGGATTTCACACGGATACAGATCGACGCTCGGCCCGAGATGACGGACTAAGTTCGCCTGAAGTGCAGGCATGCTTGGCGCTAATGCGTTCGGTGCTCAAGTAAACACCCGCAGATTGCTGCCATAAGTACACGGGAGGGTGCTGAGTAGAGTAGCACTTTTAATCACAACGGACTGATTGTTCATGCTTTTAGCAAAACACCCACACCTCAAATGCGCAAGGTCAGGCCACACGTGTGCAATAAAAATATCTTAGCAATGATATTGGCTAGATAAATCTTGTACCAGACCGCCAGCTCCTTTTCGGGTTTTCCTGATCAAACGTCAGCCAAGTGTTCTTGAGAAGTACATGAGTACATACAAGGTAGTTGCTTCATTTGTACTGTTAGGGGAAGTTGGGGCAATGCCGGAGTTGGGGCAAAGCCGAAATTCGAGATATTTCGAAAACCGTAAGACATGGATGCCACCTGTCAGTGATGCTCTGAAGCTTAAGTGACTACAATTATCGCATGTTTGTTACGAGTCGTCATTCGGAATACTTCGACTGTGAGGGCGCCAAGAGCGTTTTCAAGGTACGTTTCCCTTGTACTACATGCGCCTTTGAAGCTGCATTTTTTACTCATTATGCTACCGTTTGTCTGGCCAATTCGGTCAAGTAATCTTTAGCATGTCTTTGCATAAGTGTGCTGCCTATTTGAAATTTATACAGCACGTTGAAAAGTTATGGGCCTGCAAATGAAAGTATGGCTGGCTGGGGTAATGCCGAAAACGTGCGATTACGCACGTGTTAAAAGCACGCTACGTGGACTTTACTGCTGTAGAATAGCAACGCGTATTTTTAGTCACACAAATTACACTTTCAACCGACACAACGGCCTGTTACCTATAAGGAATGATTTACCTGGCATTTTCTTATTATATCACACAATTATAACTTCCAGTGTGCACCGCGTCCTCAAGCTCTTGAAACGTGTGTCAGCTTTGATGAATTCTGGATAAAGTTTGAGATAAAATGGCAAAACATCAATGTCGGCATTCCCCGTAGATCATTTCTCCCATTTTCGGCTTTCCCCGCAGTCCGGGGCAACGCCGAAAAAGTCACTTCTTTGATATTTTTAGTTTGTGCGCTTAACGGTATGCGAATTCATCAAATGCGCCTGGTATGTTTGAAAGGCAAAAGACTGGCCTCTCGAATGACGCCAACAAGAATAGCGTATGTTGTCTACCTTGCGTGCTACGGGCGTCAGAAAAAAAGTCTTCGGCGTTCCCCCAACCAAGGCCATCTATAGAAGGTACAGTCACTCCCCCGCCGACCAATCAGAGACAGATCCTGAGTGACGTCACCCCTGATGCTCGCAAGGGGTACTCCATTCCTTTACAACGTAAAAATGACTAACTTCATTTCAAGATTATTGATGGCACTCTACACATACCGCTCAACCGTTGATGGCAATCGAAAGCTCAGCCAATTTTCCAGCGACAAAAAAGAGTAGCAATATGCTAAGAAATGGCCGGTTTTTAAGATATAGACGATTTAAAAACCCTCTGCAGCAGCAGGAAAGCAACGTAAAAACGCATCGAGCTTATATTTTTACTATGAATAAATCATTTTTCAGTTAGTTTTTAGATATGGTATAGATTAAAGCTACAACTTTATTACAATATTTTCATTACTTGAAACTTTATTTCAAAAAAGTATTTTCAAAAATGGCAGCTGTTGGTAAGTAGCTTGGGAGCGATTGTGGCGCACCGCGCCATTAATTGTCCTGAGGCCCCCTTATGATGTCATCAAAAGTGGAGTGACATGGGCCTGCCCCCAACTTCCCCTATCTCATTAAAGGGACACTCCCACCTTAACATTAGTTTTGAGTTGAGATAGCCAAATTGGTGGCCATGGCCTGCAAATACCGGTTTGGGCACTCACAACATCGAAAAATGCTTTAATTCGAAGATATGGAATTTCAAACTTGCAGTTTTCGGATTCTAAGGGGCTAATGCATTGGAATGCCCCCTTAGAATTTGTGACGTCAGCGGAGATCTAACGATTTTTAAATCTTAGACTAAAACCATCGTTAACACGTGGTGGTATACGCTGCTTTGCGCGCAGCGTCTGCCGCACTTTAAGGCTGCCAAATTATTGCTTCCAAATAAAGTCGCTAGTAACAGGGGAGATCCCAAAAAGTAAACAAAAGTAAAAGCCTAATATCTTGAAAACCAGTGAATATTTTTCGGTGAAATTTGGTAGATATTCGTTTTCGCTCTTTCTGAACCAAGGGACATCACTTTCATGCCAATTCATTAACTTTTTGAAGGTGGGAGGGTCCCTTTAAACAACCTAAGAAAAAATGATTAAAAGGTTCACAAAAGCAAAGCAAGTTCAAGCTAGCTAGGCTACCAACCTCTCTCCTTCTCATCCTTTTCTCTCTCTCTCTCTCTCTCTCTCTCTCTCTCTCTCTCTCTCTCTCTCTCTCTCTCTCTCTCTCTCTCTCTCTCTCTCTCTCTCTCTCTCTCTCTCTCTCTCTCTCTCTCTCTCTCTCTCTCTCTCTCTCTCTCTCTCTCTCTCTCTCTCTCTCTCTCCTTCTCCCTTTCTGCATTGTCCGTGTGTCGACGGGTGCTTATTCGGCGAATCATGGCCCGTAATGACATGGGACCACCTGCGCCGGCCACCCTCGGTAGAACCATGTTTACCCCATCGGCGCTCTCGGCAGCCCCGGAGAACGTTATTCTTCCTCTCGGCGGCCCTCTCTGCAGAACACTTGCGCGCACTCGGCGACTCTCTGGAGCGGGGCAAACAAAGCCAGAACGAGGTCACCTGTTTCTGCCATGCGGGATGCGCGCGCCGTGGTAAGCGACCCTGTGGTCAGTATTGGGATCGGCGCAGACGGTCTCAAGGAGGATCTGCGGTTAGCCAAGAAGTCTTTCAAGTGGCACTAATTCCGATGTTGAGGTGTACGGAATATGGCTTCGCTTGTATGGGCGTATTACTATGACGTCTACACATTATTCTACAATCTACAAATGAGGGATCTATCGGTCGTCGACGTACACAACGCATATACCAACCGAGCCTAAGCCAAGAGCTGAACATAACGCAGCACCGGCTAAGAGAGACGTTGTTGACATCTGTTGCCATGACGGCAAATCTATGGTCACAGCGACATCGCATAATAAGCAGCTCCCGCTATTGAAGCGAACAGCGTGTGACAGCCCTTTCCGTCTGCTTCTGAGATCGGGCTACGGGTATAATGGCTCAGCGGTAGCTTCGGAGTCAGTGTCGGTGTCCGCGGCTCACTGCGGTCATCTGTCCAGTCATCTATGTAAGACCACCGGCAGTGACCGACGGCACGATGTCTTTCAGTCGATTACACGCCGGTGGAACCGTGACGGCGGCGCGATGACACGGACTGCGCCGACTGCCCGGAGGTCATCAGGCTGGGCTACCTCGGGAGACTTATCATCCATCAGCTGAGGAAGGTGTGGAGCTGTGACAGAGTGCTGCGTCCAACGGAGAGCAGTCTATGTGACATAAAATTGGTAGGTAATTAAAAGGCGTGCAAGCTCAATGCTACGTGGTGAGTATGGCAAGCGTGAGAAACCACCACATGGTCAGATAATGGCAAAATAATGTTTTTAAGTCATTTCAGACAGTTCATCATTTGATACCGGAAAACAATTTCGAAGCTATTCTATCAGAAACTTGTGACTCACTGAGATACCGTTCTTGTTTTCTGATATGATATGATAGCTTGCTTTGAAGAGGTAATACTGCATAGATTCCTGTGGGTTGAAGCTATCGACATTATTCTTTTGAAGTTGAATCCACGAGACAGGCAAATTACGGCTTTTGATTCTTCTTTTGTTTGGGAAGTCCGTACAACCACTCGCAAACACAACTTCAGCTCCAAGTTCAGTAGAGCATGCAGCTTCAACTTTAAAAATTTAGATTAACATTATTTGTAGAGCAGATCATCATAGCAGAGGAAACAATGCATCGATCCACAGTGTTTGGCGGACAATAAGATAGTGCAAAATAAAATTTGTTTCATTCATTTACAGTCTGCAGTGCAGCATGTCTAAAGCACCGCACCTCAGTAAAACATTTCCCGCTACTAAAAATTGCACAAGCTTAGACAATCTGCAGCTAGCATACTGGCAATTCCATATACAAATTATCCAAATTATTCCATATACCATGTATGCAAATTATCAACGTATGTCCACCGAGCCAGACACCACCTCTTTGCCTGGGAATCTGTCGCAAAGCCCCACCATCTGACGCGTCTGTCTGACATTTCTTATTGTCTGACGTCGGACCATATAAGCCGACCTGACCGACCTGGTGTGTGGTAACAAAGCCATCAGCTGACGCCAGGCCGCCGCCGGGCTGACCCTTTGTACGGGGTCGGAGCGACTTCCGTCCGTCCCTAATAGACGTCGATAACCTGTGTGTGTGTGTCTGTCGGGCCTCGCCAGAGTGCAGACGCGTGGCCTCGGGTTCACTATGTATAAGTCACTACATTGGTACTGAATTGATATAGCCTTTCAGTAAACGGCAGAGGCGGCAACAACATTCCAACTGTAGTCGGAAACATATA